AGAAACATGCAAAATGGGACGGAAAACATGAAATTTTGCAATAATCTTGCGCCACCCTTGCACAAAACGACGATAATTTTTCGAATTTCATAGACAACAGAAGACAGTATTTTTTCTACATAACCCCCCACCTGAATTTAAAGCTAGATCCGCCCTTGGGTCAGACAGAGAGCTAATAATTACAACCCGTCTAATGCGGCCTATTCCCATAAGCATATGAGGGTATATTTACACCGGGGCTGTTGTTTGAGGACTTTTGACCCAGTTTACTCCATTGTGAACACAATTTCTTTGTCTCTGTATGTCCCTCTTATGTAGGGCTATTTTTAACGTACATAGAGCATCTTTGTTGAAAAGTTCAGATAAGTATTAATAAAACGGCAATGGAAATAAAATTGAACAACATAGCCCGCATCTCTTTCGGGTTTTTTTTAATTGAATATCCACCCTACTTGGACCAGGCTAGAGGCCATATGGCAGACACGCCCAGAAATAGATGAAACATGATATCTAGGAAGGATCGAACCTTTTTCATTTTCCCACGTACAACTATTTTATCAGCACGTTTTTCCGTTTTTCATTGCAGCCTGAAAAACACCCCGGTTTCAAGCAATGACCGCGAAATCCTATTTATCCATCGGTAGTAAAAAMGCTTCTGCAGCTATAGATTAAATGAATGAATGAAACKTTCATATAACCAKAYACTCTCTCTGATGAYTCGATTGAAGAATGGCAAACGTGCACACTGTAAATCGAAGGGGACTAATAACACGTTAGGGGAGAAACTGGGTGGATGACACATGAATCGACCGACGCAAGTTCTGGAACAGGAAGTTGTTCGAGCATTTGAAAATAAAACGCTTGTAAAAATGTTTAAACAATATTCCTAATTCTCGTTCTAGGCAGCGGTATAAAAGGCATAATTCACGCATAATTGTACACATCAAGTGATCCTCATTTGCATCTGACCTTAAATGCCGCAGTGTTAAATAATGTTAATGCATAACTAGAAACAGTACAATAGCCATCATCTATCATCCATCTAGTGAACACAAACGGGATTTTTCGGCTCTCTGAATGAATTTGAATTTAATCACCATTGCCAATGTAGAAAAGTAGCACTGATGTCATCGAATTACCAATTTCAAGCAACACAAGTAGTTAATTTATATTTTGTCCTCCCTGGGTTTCAGGCAAAATGTGAAATAAAAATGTCCTTATCGTTTATTTCATATAACGTTTCGGCGAGGCAACAGCGCCCTCATCAGATTTAAAATTCAACACAAACCATTAGGACCATTGGGAAACATTAGATCCTTTTTCTGAGGGAAAAAAATAATTTTTAATCTGATGATGGCGCTGTTGTCTCGCTGAAACGTTATATGAACATTTTTATTTCACACTTTGCCTGAAACCCGGGAAAGAAAAAATATAAAAACAATTACATGCAATCAGGAAAATAAATAATAAAAAAAGATAGTTAATGTTTGTTACTGGAAGACGCGAGAATAATCCTAACCATTTTTCACGCCCGCATCTTTTAAAAGGCTCAAACTAAATAAACAGCCAGCCTAATTAAATGCAATGTTTGTGTACCATTTAACTTATTTAGACCTGTTGACTGCCAGTTCACACATTTTATACTATAAATGGATATGGTGGTGTTAATAGAATTAGTTTGATTTGATGATTAAACCGCCTATTTGAGGTGGTAGCTTCACTCATCTATTCGCGAGTTCAACTACCGATGGTGGCGCTGCGAAACGTCAAATTACTCGTTGTTGACAGTTGAGACTTGTCAGACTTGTTCATTTATTGAAGTCGATGACATCTGTACAACATTAAACAATAACACACTTTTCAATCTATTTCTATTTCTTTAAAATCTTGCAAAAGTTGATTAGAACGAAACAAAACAAATCGCAAACGCCAATGTCAACAAAACAAGTGTCAAATAATTAGTTAACGTGTAGTAATAATTTTAGCCACCAGGCGACGTTTGGACTTTTGAAGTCGCGAATAATGTCACGTAGTTTCCCCGACAAAGGGTTGATGGAAACAGACCAATGGTCAAATTATCTGTCATTAATTTTGAGCTGTCATTTGAGTCTGTCAAACGAGTCGGACTGTTTAGTTTACACCGAACTTTACAAGAACAATTAAAGTTTATTACGAATTTCATAAGCTGTAAGCAGTCAGATTGAATGTTTAAGTCACACAAAAAGTACCTTGGTGAGAAACCGATCATTCAGTGCTATTGAAAATATCAGGTAAAAGGGGATTGCCGCCCTTGCGGCTAGCAGTTGGCAGAATTTGCGGCAAGCCAGTGGTAGATTAAAAAAAATAAATCATAGACATGAGCCTCAATAGGATTAACCTAGTCTACATGTGTATATTAAAAACATTTATCAATTGAACTGATAAGTGAGAACGTTTGTTCTAGGTGGAAACATGTCATATGCAGTAATAATAATGCAGAAAAACGTGCAGATTCTACGCCTATGCACCGTTCTGACCACAAACTCGAGACTGAAGCAAAAACAAATCCTACTAAGACCAGCCCAGGTTGCCCAGGCAGGTGCTTGATAGAAGCTACCATCTGTCCTTAAAGGAAGCCAATCAGATGCACTGATTTTTTCATAATCCCCTGCATTTCATACAATGGGCGGAAATTGAAAAATCTTCGCTCAATTTTTGTTAAAAGGTTGGTGCTGATTTCTTTGTTAATTTTACGTCTAGAAAATCCCCAAATTAAGGTGCAGTCAGTCATTGCACGTACATAAATAGAATGAATTGCTGCTTATTGGTAGAAATTGATAATTATTCAGCTTTTTGTCTTTTGCACTGAGTGTCGGTTAAACACAAACTGTGTGTGTGGTTTAATTGTAATTTTCATCTGATCCTTCTTTGACTTTACCTCTTTGGTACCTATTAGACCAAAAATAAGAAGTCTAAGAAGTGCAACTAAAGTCTGTTTGTTGTATTATAATATTGAAATAAGAATTGTTGAAATTAATGCCTCCCAATTGCTTTGGAAAAAAACAATTTACGAAGTATTAGTTTTTGCAAATTAAATCAGTTGGCAATACAGCTGCTGTTTTCCGTGATATTTTTAGCCGAATTAACATTTTTTTATAATAAAACGACTCCGACTCTGATTAAGCTTTGACTGAGCTGCATAATGAGTCATTACTCGTTATAACTGCTTAAGATGTGGATGTGATGTTAGAAACGGGTGACCGATGAAAACTTGATAAACTAATCGAATTTTTTAGCCATTAAAGTGATTAATCAATTACTTAATTGTAATGTGGGCAGGAAGCAAAGCGTCTGCATCGCAAGAGTTGCAACTTCCCCAACACCAGCTAGTTTGTCAGCATTTGCGCTTTCTCGAAAAAACAAAGCCAGTATAAACTCTGGAAATATCCAGGACAAGGGGATAAAAATAATTCAGCCTCCTGTAGCCAGAAATATTGATAGAGGTTGGGAAAATGGAAAAGATCTGCGTGTAGGATGATGAAGATCGGATGGGAAACGTAGATATTAAAATAACCCTTGGATAATTAATAGTAAAAATCGAATTTTACATACCCCGATAACAAGTGACGATAGATCCCAAGTTAAAAATCACCTAAAGTTCCACTGATTTCTTCAAAAACGCCAAAAACTCCGCACAGAAAACACGAAAACACCTCGACGTCGAAGCACGAACGCCAATGACCAAAACAAAATCCAACGCCTTGTCGATGAGAACCGAGCGGGGCAACAGTGCCAAATGTTACCGTTTAACTTCTAAACAAGGAAAAACATAATACTATGTTCTCTGTAGTTTTTTGCTAGCATGAGACTGGGAGGGAGCTCGGCGATTATCCCCATAGCGTTTCAACAACCAAACTACTTCTAGTGGTGTCAAACATTTAAAAAGTCACTTAATCTTTAGATAGTAGTAGCTGATAAGGCTAAGTGGGAGAGGAGTAGACAATATCGCAAACGCGATTCCAGAAGGTCAATACAATTTTTGGGCGCTTCGCCTGCGGCTTTAATATGGGGCTCGGTTCAAATATTGAAAAAAAAGCAGTGTTTTGTCTGGGCTTGTTTTGTCTTGTCATGTCTGGGCTTGTTTTGTTGGAAATCATTAAAGTGCTAAATGAAAATGCGGACATTTGTCTTAGAACCAATAATTTATTTACACTATCAACGAATTCGTTCTAAAGACGCTCCATTCTGTATACTTAAGACGATAATGATTGAACATACACATTAGCTATTACCTATCCCATATATCCTCCATGGCATTATCACTAACACATTTCGCGGGTAAAACTTTAAGCATTTTCATGGTTTGCAAGTAAAAGATCACTTCGGTGGTGACAATGCCATGTTGCGGCCCCCCATTGCTTTGTATGTTCATCCTGAGAATCTGCTCTCTTATTCGAGTTTTGAAGTTCTTATGGATTTCCTGGTAAATGTCGCTGATCTAAAAGAGATTTAAAGAGAGAGTAGAATCGGTAAAGCGCCCAAATGCTGTGCCCTACCTGCTCTTCGGGCAAAACAGAGCTCACAGCCTCGTGTAGCTTCGTCAAATGTCTGGAAATGTTCCGAAAGTGCTTGCTAGGAACCGGAGGTTTTGCCTCCCAATCGCTCAGTTGATCCCCTAGTAAAGTGTTCATTATCGATAGCACTTTTGCCTCCAACTGTTGGATGTGATGGCCAATGTCCCTCTCCACACTGTCGAAGCCATTGAAATTATCACCCGAGAGGGACTGGAAGTTGTTTCTTATATGGGGGATGATCCACAAGACCAACTGTAAAGATCTCGAAGCGAGGGCCAAGTTGGTGCTGGTGATGGTTTTAAGGCCGGCAGTCCGCAAAGCGCCCGCCCCCAGTACCAGCTGGCATGATCGCGAATTGAACGTCCGTAACAGTTCGATTAGGTTTCGGCCTATGACTGGCGATAGGAGCTGTAGATCGTAAGCACATACACAATATTCACTCACTAAGCGGATTAATATTAGTACTGCTCCTACGGTTACGTAGTTTTGCGAGCCAACTTTCAGAGCCGGCAGTGGCTTGCTACTGTGCTTAGTGCTCATTTCCTGTTCGCATGGAGAGCCTGGAAGCGACTTGATCACATCTCCCATGGCCATCTTATCAATCAATAGTTGAATTTCGGTTGGAACATCTGCAGACTTCCACCTAACAAAAAACGGTTAGTCGAAATTCTACTGGATAGTAAGGCGAGCCTGGCGATTACCTTTCAGCGTCCAAAAGCAAAGCCAGCTTGTTTTTACGCTGCATGTTGAACTTGTGCACATAATTCCCTGCTTGTATCTTGAAAGCGGCCTTCAGGGCCGCGCTTTGCTTTCCGCTGATTTCTTCACACGCGTTCGTAAACTCCTCGACGATCTTGGCCAGATCCGCCACCTGAATACCCATAGAATCGCACTCAAGGTTTATTACTGCTGTTCAAATCAGCCACACTACCTGATGAGCCGTTACAGTATTGTTATCACTTTGCGTGCTAACCAACGCCGCCAGTCGCTCATTGCAATAATCACAGACTGATGTAAGTAACACTTTTAGCTTCTTGGTTACTTGGACGTGGTCGTCTTGCGAGAGAAAATGTTCAGCACTCGATGGCGATATAATGGTGTTTTCCCTCAGTCCGCAAGTTACATCGGCAGTTTCCTTGACCACGTCATGAACTGCCCGAACTCTGTGCATGAGTTTAACTAGAAATTTCAACCGGAGTTACTCGAAACGGCTCAGTCATCACCAAGCAAACCCACCCAGAGCCTCACTTCCCGACTTTAGGACTTTCAACCAGTGCGCGGAGTCCATAGTGGGCGCAACCTCTCCAGATCCCGTTAATTCGTTGAGCTCATCATCTGCGTCGGCCAACTGTTCAATCATCAACTGTTTTAAAAGAGCCTGGGCCGCGGTTACGGCCTCTAGCCTGTAGACTTCCAGAAATTGTAAATGGTTCTGCCGCAAAAGGCCTGCCGCTAAACTCACTAAACGCTCCTGTTCTAAAACACCTAAAAGTGCTCGAAACTCTCGGATCCATTCGCATCGAATTTACCCCCCATTTACTACCAACCTTCATCTGAGTTTAAAGGTCTGTGTAAATCCGCAGCAGCATATCTCTCAAACTCTGTGCTAAGCATTTTATCGATCAGTTTGGACATTTCCTTAAGCTGCGAGGGCAAGTGGCGCAAGCTCGTTACACCTGCTAGTTCCTTAGCTAGAACTTCCTGTGTACCTGCAAGAATCGCGTAATTTAGTACCGCTAAATTATCATAATAAATTGCGCATCAACCTGCTATTAGTTCAAGTGCTCCGACATAGTCAGAAGAACTAAGCAGCAACTGCAGTGTGGGTTGTGTTTGCAATACAGTAGCCATGAGCTTCAGCTTGTTAACTAATGTTTTGTGATTCGTTTTGGACCTGGCAAGTGCCATTAACTTGAGAGCATCTGAAGTAAGGCATTTGTCCATTCGTTGCACTTTGGAGCGAAGCACTCTCACCTACGACACAAATTGATCAGTGTTTTCGACAATTTTATTCTTGCGAATGTTACTTCGTTACTGGCAGTCCCCATTTGCTCCATAATGGTGTCATGTGAGGTCATGGCATGGAAAAAGGCCCCAGATTTCTGCGAAACCTGCTTGGCAATCTGCTCCTCAACGATATCCAGGTAAAAACTGAGCTCATCTTGCACATCGTGTTCTGATTTGGACTTATTCTCAAACACCTGGCTAAATATCTATGGGAACAGATCAGTACTTGGACGGAAATAAATATAAAGACCGGATCCTACCTTGGGGTCATTCAAATTAAACTCATTCTGCATGTAAATGAGAGGAATCAAATTAAGCTTGTTCTGAGAATAAGGAGTTTCCCAACTACTGGTACTCGGTTGAATGATTTCATCATTACTCAACTGGCTTAATCTCTGGTGTCGTTTGGTTCTTTTGCCATACTTCCTAAGATACTGGTCGAAATGTGCGTAGGTAATTTCGGGAAGAAAGGGGCTTTTTTCAATAATAGTCTTTTCAACGAAGGCATCACCCCAGGTTCTGGTGAAAAAATTCGTTTGTTTACCTTTATTCGGATCGCTCAGAACTGCCGGTAAATATTGCGACGCTTTGTATATCGTCCAAGATTCATCCTGAATGTTGTCCATTCTGGCAGTGTCTGTTACCTTTCCTTATGCCCTCCCCAATGGCTTAGCCTTATGGCCATTATGAAAATTCATAATTGCAAACTTTTTGCTTACACATCAGCTGATATTTTGACACGTTCGGCTGACAACTACACGGCTTCCATACAGGCCAGCCAACCATTACAAATGAAGTGCGCGGTAGCTCAGGAAATAATACTGTTAAGAATATTACAAATCTTAACTCAGGAACCGAAGAGAAATTATTTAATGAAAATATCGGCAAGTAAAATATAATGGCAATTATGCAACAAAAGCCTATCTCAATTTAATACACGACCGCCTAGGTATATTTGAGTTGACTGTGTTGGCATCAGCTTCTACATTGCAGTTTACTTTTCTGATAAATATTAAAATATTATATCACACGGTCGCCTGTAATTATATGTGGTTGCCTACTTGTCTTTATGTCCTACTTAGGCCAAACTAACCACAAATTATCTTGCTGGGGATGGATAGATGAAGACAAGAATGTTCTGTGAAACTAACCTGTGTGATCTGTGGTAGACGCATGCACATGTTATTGAGCGTAAACACTTTATCCCATTCCTAAACGTACTTACCTGGAATTTAGAGATCATTTTCTGCGTTTCCTGATTATGGAATATTCGAGCGATTCGGAACTAAGTGACAGTGACCGGGAGGTAAGTTTTAAGTGAAAAGAAAAAATGGGCTCAACTTAAAAGACGCTCAAAATTTGTTGGGCCCCTCCTTGTTGCTTATGTTTTGGATTTTTGAAACGAGCCTAGGCTCCGATTGTTACAGTACTTACCCTTTTTTGGTTTAACATGCGACAAACACAGAAATAAACCCTCAAATAAAACATGTTGCGGGAACTTCTCTTCTAAAATACCTTTAATTTTTCATGCTATGTGACTTTCAGCTTCAAGAAGCTTTTGCCGAAGGGAAGCTAAAGCCCGGACTAAACACTGTGCAGGAAGTGCCAAAGAAACGCGTCAATAATGTTGTAAGTTCAGGGCCACATTGTGCAGTACCTACTGTTGGCATAAACATGTTGTTTTCTTAGGAAGGTCTAAAGCAAAAACTGGTAGAAATCTCGTTGGATCTGCCTTGGCTTGAGAAACTAGACAGTGTTAATGAGCAAGCCCCGTTGGCTCCTGAATTGGCTGCACAATTATTAATGCATGAAGAAAAGCGCGAAAATCAGTTTAAAAACAATAAGAAACTCGTGCAGTTGAAGCCCCACGAGGATCCCGTTCTGAACGACTTCAAGAGGGAAATGCTTTTCCAACGACAAGCCCAAGCAGCCGTTCTAGAAGCTATTCCAAAATTGAAGGCACTTGGTTTACCCACCAAAAGGCAAGCCATTAGAAGTGCAATTGTTATTGTTTCTCACGTCTTATTTTTATTTTTCAGGCCCGATGATTATTTCGCGGAAATGGCGAAAACCGATGAGCACATGCAGAAAATTCGGGAACACTTGATGAAAAAACAGCAGCAGCAACAACGGAGTGAAAGGGTCAAACAGTTGAGGCAGCAAAAGAAGGAAGGAAAAATGATGCAAATTCAAACGAAACTTCAACGAGAACAGGAGAAGAAAGAAATGCTGGACCAAGTCAAAAAATACCGCAAAGGCGCTTCTAAAGATCTGGACTTTTTGGATTCGAAAAAAAGCAAATCCATTTCAAGAAAATCCCTGGAGAAGCGAAAAATGAAAAATAAAAAGTTCGGTTTCGGGGGCAAGAAGAAGGGTTTGAAACGGAATACCAACGACAGTGCCGCAGATATCAGCGAGTACAGGAGGCCCAAGCCAACGAAGAAAACCAAGGATGCCAAGGGAAAAGGTAAATCGAACAACCGACCAGGGAAAAATAGGAGATCTAAAATTAGAAATAAGAAATAATTCTTATGCTGAATTCACTCTGTACATATGATACCGTTTATTAATTATTTCCAATCTTGATGTCTCATTCAAATAAAAAGCAGCGGGTACACTTGCTTAGTATCGTTTTAACCTGGGTTTTATTTACTTTAGTTAGGGGCGAATGATAAGAGGCAAATTAGAGAAGAATAAATCTTACTTACTAGGGGGGAAGAGGACTTTATGATTGGTTCTTTACAAAAATGGATTACAGTGCGTACCATTAACGAGGCGGTATTAATCCTGAAAATATCAAGTTGCCACATTTAACCAGTTTTATTAAAACATGCCTATGCACTTACCGTTACTGGAAGTCAGTAAATTATACAAATGCGTATTGTTTTCAAGCTCACCACCTTCTATGATCTCATTTTCGACTATCGACAGATGGCAGTACTTCGAATCTTCGTCCATTAGTCCTTCAATTACGGCTGGAGTTATTTTCGTCAAATTGCCATCAGTAGTAGAGATCTGGTTTTTATCGAAATCAGGATGAAACTGATTAATTGTAAACTTGTTTTCGATCTCTTTCGATGTAACTTTAAGCAGCCTGGATCCATCGCAGTACTTGTCGAGCGGTGC